TTTATGGAAACTCAGTCTATGTAAATATGTTTTCTTGGAGATAATTCTAGGACAGGTGATGTCTATTTCCAACCTTTTGACAATAAGGAAAAAAATAGTTTGTAAAATGGGTCTAATTATAGAAGCAAGCTTGTTCTTTGTCAATAATATTAAGTTATGAGTATTTGATTGACCTATTAAATAATTTTGATTCTGAAGTATTCTTTTTCAATTTATCCAAAAGTGGTATAAAACATACAGAACTTAATCTAGTTTAATGGGCACATGAAACCACATTAATGTTTCTTGAATATCTTTGTCCTTATAATTTATTGACTGACTGCACATCTTAATACAGATTTGTTCAATAAAATATTCAATTTAACTATCAGCCTGACCATGTAAACCCCCTACGGTTAAATTAATTGATGAACATATCAAAAAGATAGAATAACCAGCTATCTGCCATTTGTGTCTGCATTCATGAATCGAAAGAATCTTTTAAAATAATATTTAAATAAACATTTAATAAATATTCAATCAATTTTGTTCATCAGAAACTGCATTGTTAACAACACTTTGTTCTCATATGTTGAATTAATGGGTTTTTTTTTATTTGTAAATTCACAACATTGTAATCTCTATAAATCAAGTGTGAGGGTACCTACTATATCATAACATATCTTCTACAATCTGTACAACAAAGAAACAAATCATGGCTAGCCAATTATAATCCACAGCTGTTGTAAAAATATGTTGTTGTTGTTATTGTAGTTTTAGCTTATAATATTCATGCCCTTGTTTCAACAAAGGAAACCAAATTTCACATCACTATAACAACACTATCTCCCTGCACAATATTTTAACAATTTAAACCCCTTTTTTTGTTTATAAAACACTTTTTCAATTATGACATAAGGCAATTTTTACATTCCAAATTTATATCCAAAAGTAAAATCCTTTGTTCCCATCATTTGTTATTAAATCCGAAATAAAATGCACTTATTTTTCTGGATATAAATCCCACGTGAGTGTTGTACACATTTCATGTGAGCAGCAGGGAAACAATTTATTCTTCTCCCTGCAGTCTACTCCACATTTTTTCTTTGTGTTGAATATTATTTTGTATTCAGAGCCTGAATAAAATAGGCCGTTACAACAAGAGGTTGATAGAGAGAGAGAAAACTGTGATACCGTGATGGTGAAAACAAGTAAACTATTTAAATATCATGCTCCCTAGATAAGATACCAGTACACAGAGAGAGAGAGCAAAATGAAATATGACTCCACTTCAATAAAATTACATTGAGAGAATTAATTCAAAGGCATTAACATTGGGTGAAATTCTCATCTCACAACCTCTGTTTTTTGGGGTTTTTTTTTGGTGACAAAATTATATTTTGTTCCTTGTTATGAGATCATTTTTTATTTACTTTCAACCCTGTCTCCATGGTTCACCATCCCAACTACACCCTGTCCCACCCACAACCAATCCCACCTACACCCAATCCCACCCAGACCTTATCCCACCCACAATATAATTCCCACCCTGTCCTTGGTGCTTAAACCATGAGTTTAATATATGACACAAAGTTAAATTAATATGTAAATTAAAATATCAACAGTTATGAAGACTTTTTTTTTTTGACAGGTTATATGGCCCAATATAACCAAGCCACTAGGTTAAAGTTATATAACCAGTAGCCATTAATTTGTTAACCATATAACTTGTCAAAAATCTTTGTAATGAATTCAAAATGCTGCATAATTGCATTTGTTGACAAAAATTAAGATAAATTAATTAATTTGTATCAGCAGTATATATCAGAAAATATAAACATTGAGACAGTCCAATGAAACTCTTTTTACAAATAGGAAATATTTTAAACATTAATAACTGGTATAATAGGGTAATCTCCTGCAATAGCAGCCACAGTGTGACCCCCACCTACATAAGCACCAAGAACTGATCCAGGACTTAATGTATGACACTCAATATAACACCCAATATTAATGCAGAAATAATGGCTGAATATTAGGGTTGTGAGGGCTTGTACATCAGGATCTTGATAATAGAATCACCAACAATCTATGATTACTTTAACAATGGCCTCACCTGCTAAGACTAGGAGACAGAGAGTTCAGTAAGAGAGATAGCAAGGTTATCATGATGCTATTAACATGCATGTATTGTTCATGACTCAAAATGTCAGACATGTATTTGTGTTGTTGTTGTTGTTGTTGGTGGTGTATATGGGACTGCAGGTTTATAGAAGAAGAACATATGAACAGTATATTCTAGTAATGGCATAAAATCAATGCCTACAACTAGCCAAATATCAGAGTGATTTTACACTCGACAGTGTGACATTAACTTTAACTTTGTCATGAACTTCACAGACAGTGTAACATGAACTTCAGATAACATGACCATATTTTTTTACTCATTGTGATAAAATAGGTAATTTGATTTGTGTATAATTCCACATTTTTGTCATGAAGATTATAAATGCCTATTTACATGTCATATGAAGTTTGCTGAAAATCACATGGCATTAATAAACACACACAGTAGGACAGCCCGCATGGAGACAAGTTTCACCAGATGGGTAGAAAATTCTAATAAATTGTATACATCTAATTATGCAGTATTTGTTGAAACAAGATTTATTTTGTGATATTACTAGGGATACAAGTTTTGTTTACTACATGTTCTGCAGCTGTTGCACTTGTATTCAAATTATTGTTGATTGTATGTTGATTGTATGTTATCATATATTAATACAGTCTAGCATGAGTCAAAGACCCCAAATCTACAAATTTTCACTTACAGATGAACCTGTCACTAAAGGCCACTTCAGTCTTCTTCTAGAACAATAATACAGCAAAGAAACTTGCTTAAAGTGATCATATTTTCCATATCCCTACTGTAAGCATACTGATATTTTGTAAGGTTCATTAAAATCCAAGATAAAATGTCAGATAAAATTTGTGACAAAACCAAAATTACAAAATTTAAATAATTTACATAAATTACAAGCAATTGAAACATTCTGAGGGACATAATGCATTTCAGTCTTTTGCTAACCCCACACCCCCATTCCCCACCGGTCCCTAAGGATACTTTGAATTGACATTTGACAGGCACAGATAACATTATTCTTTATTTTTTTTTGATAATTGTTATTGATTGTAAGAGAAAATATAAAGCCTTCTTGAAATGGTACAATTGTATTATAAAGAGATGAAACCTGAACATCAAGCATGCGATACAAGGAAATATTCTATACAAATGTAGTTGCTCTGGCTAAAAACACAAGCCAGTTTCCATCATAGTATTGAATGGTACACATGAGACAATTACTAAATAAATTCTTTAATAGATTTATGCAGAAAACATTTAATTAATATAATGTTGGCATTCATTTTAATATTTAAACAGTACTGCCCCCTTTTTCACCAACACTTGTGACTACCCCACATACACTGTATATTACACCATTTAAAACAGTGGAATATAAAGAGGACATATGGTATTTAATACATAAAATTTTTACAACAATTCAAAATATACAAGCATGAGCTCAGGTCATTGGGAACTAAATCTTGAAAATTTTAAGTCTGTAAAAAAAATCCTTTGTTCTTTCTACTGAACTTTTTGAGTAGATATATCTCGTGTAAAATCATATATTGGGAGTGATTCTTTCAATATCATAATAATAATTCTACAAACTTCAAAGAAAACTCATGCTGTTCTGTTTACATAATTATATCATAATATGAATGCCTTCAAGACAATTATATAATTTAATTACATTAGGTCGTGGATGAAAAATATTGGGTTTGCCGTTTCAAAACGAGAAAGTTTCAAAAGTAATATAGTATAAACAGATTTATTCTCTTTTTTAAAGCTAATACATAACCAAAAATATTTTCTGATTAAAATTGTTACTAAAATTTACTTTTTTTTAATAAGTTTTTAAGTCAGTTGCATTGTAAAAGCTTCAAACAACATTTTTTTTTTATTACCCGTAACCTAATAAAGAAGTTTTAAAGTGGATCACACTGTAGAACTGAATGAACTGTCTATAACTTACTCATTTAAATAATTTTCCTTGTTCTTGATCAAATATTTGAGTGCTTAGTTATTTCACTTAACAAGGAATGTAACTCTGTAACAATTTTGCACTTAAATCTTGCAAAGTTTGACATAATTACCTCCCTTGGTTTGAAACTGACACCTACTTGATATTGACATAAAAACAGAAATTCAATAAGATAGAAATTTGTAAATTAAATTAACCATGCCTCTGGTAGCCACTAAACTAAAAATCTCAATGATTCATCATTTATCGTCAATGACTCACACAAATAAAATATTCTGATGAGAGAAAAAAATGTTTAAAGCAAGAAATCCTGTTCATAGCAGAAACCATTTCAGATTAATTACTTCATTGGCGAAACAAAAAACCTCTTGCAGGGCAAACTCGATTTTAACCTTGAAGATAAAATCAAACAACAATTACAATATTTCTAAAATAAATTACATGTACAATCCATGGTAATGTTACTACGAAAACAATAAATATGTTATAGATTTTCAAAATCTTATATGTATATAAATGTATATAACAAAATACGTATAATATAAGTTATGGATCCATGGAAACTAACTTATCCACTTCCTCTTTCCTTTAATATCACTCTTAAATATACCATTCATTGTTTATATGTGGTAAATTATTATTGTTTTTAGTTGCCCAAACCCAATCTTCTCTACTTTTGTGCCCTTCCCATCTATGTCTGGTTATGTTATTCTGTAAACAGTTCTCTCCCTTGCTGATCTTTGTATTCATATTTTATAATAAACAGGAGACTGCTATAACCAGATTAAATGTATATGATTTATAAAGAAGCGAAAGGATTTTAGTGTCCTGAAACCTGACCATTTGTAATAATCAAATACTTCTCAGGTGCATAACTTTAAAAAATCAGGGGCCACTACTCTTGTCTGATCTTACCTGAATGAGATTTTCTCTCCGTTTTGGATCCAATGATGCCCCTCTCTCTGATGATGATGACACCAATAGGTATCTCTGCAAGAAATACAACATTATGAGTTACATCATTATTACATATTTATAAATCATAGATATTAATTCAATTTAAAAACAATAAATCTAAAATCCAGTTCAGACCCAATCTTCATGCATCCATTACTATAAATAATTTCTAAAGGACAGAAATATGTCTATTACTAAAGTCTATGTTAAACTACAATATGCTAATAAGGCGTTACATTTATGAAGCTTGCCGACTTGTTCGAGGAATTCTGGGACAATATTTACGTCCTTGAAGAAGTTACTAACGATGTAACAGACAATGTTACAGTCTTCATATCGGGATTTCTGGCATAAAATCTCTCTATCTTCTGTCTATTAGCATTTTACAAATTTGAATAATTTAGATTGGGAAGCTACAAAATTAGATTATAGAATCTGCAGAAGTGACGATAATTACATGTAAAGTATGTCACCGTTGCAGCAGTGAGAAATGTAAATATTTCGAGAAGACCTACAATCCTAGAATATTAAACCATAATCTAGGCCATTTCAAGATAATGGGGGAAATAAGTGTAAATTTTACCATAATGTTGAATCTGGAAAAGATATTTCAATTTTCTGATGAAATAATTTAGAATGGATGGAAAATGTTTTCTTCATTATTTCACATATTGAAAAATTATGCTAATGACTTGTGTTTCAGTTATGACTTTGTCTGACATATTAAACCTACAAACATTTTATTTCCTACAAGATACAATTATTGTTTTGTCTTAACGTATTATAACATGATTATGGTACAAAACATACCTCAGGGCATTTAAAGAGATCATTTTTCTGTGGCCGGGATTCAAACATGATTTGATTTTTGGTGTCTCGTGTCCACATGACCATGTTCTCCACCAGTGTGTCATGGTCCTCTAACACACGCTCTGAAAGTGAAAATAAAAGATAATTCATTTCTTGTTATAGATATGTGAAGAAGATCTTTTTGATATTTAACATTTTAATCTGCTGGAACCAAAAGTGGTTAGCCATTGCGACAAGTATGGAGCAAGGAAGCTCTCAATGATTTGTTATGAAAAGTTCAGCACAATTTAAATCTTTCACCAATCCTTTTTGTTTTTTTAGTTGCACAAGAAACTCATACTGGGTTTAGTTTCACTCTTTAAGGCTGTTATATTATTAGTTTTGTAGATTGATGACAGGTTATTATGACCCTATTTAAATTATTTTTATATTTTGGAGACAACAGAATGCAAACAGCTGGTCGTTTAACATACAAGGTGTAAAGCCCTATGGGACTTCCATTAATAAGTCTCATCTAAAAGATCTAAATTCTATATTTGAATAGTGGAGGTTCAAACTCACAACCTCTGCTTTAAAAATATAAATATTATTAAATAATCACTAGATGCTTTATTTTCTAAAAACATTCCCAAAATAACATTTTATAATTCTGTGACAAACCCGGATATAATAGAAACAGTGACCTAATATGAAATGTTTCTAAACTTGATATTCCATCATGATTACATTGTGACATAAGGATATATAGAATTCCCATGTTTTGTGTTTAATGTAGAAATTCCTGACATGCAAACAAAAAATATGAACACATTTATTGTAATACAATATATAAAGATGAAATTACATAGCTACAGAAAAAATATGAAATCAGTGCTCGGAAAACTAAATTATAGTTATGATAATAGAGTAATCTTAATTATTTGAAGCCCTTCAAGACCTGTTTATTATATTTTTATATTTTAATCTCATGGTTAATAATATCCTGATAATGAAAATATATCAAATCTAGCAGTTAAAACAGAAAAACCACCAGGCTTTTCATTTTCATGTCATACTGGCAAATATGAGGTCACATCCTCAAATATAAGGTCACACTCACATATATGAGGTCACATCGTCAAATATGACATAACTGCAATATGTGCACCCATTAAAGGTGCATGCCTCCAGATGAGCAAAAATATTTCAAGAAAATCAAACTTGAGAAAAATTAACAAAGATTTTAAGAAAAGTAAGAAGTTTTTAAGATTCAAGTTATAATTTACATGGTATGTACGATAAATGATTGATTGTGCAGTATATATCACCATATTTTTACTGTGTGACAAACCGGAAACCTGTCACATGTTATAACTAATTGAAATCATTAAACCAAATATTGTCATATATCAGAATACAGTCCCACCCCAGTTATTTGACAACCCTTTACTCAAATACCCTGCATTATCCAAAGTAGATCAAAAAGTTGTCTTCTATCACTATATTGTGTATATTTGGATTTCGATTATTTGAACCCATCAATTATTTGAAGTAAATTTTCAGTCCCCAGCAATTCGGCTTATCAAGGTTGGACTGTATTATTTTATCATTCTGCATTGACAGCTATATCCTCACTTTGAACAGCTCTATTTCTTGACAATTTTCCATGATAATTTCTTACTGTGACGTTATCCAGACAATAAACATGTCTTCCATGAAAGAAATCAAGACGCCAGAAAAAAATAGCATACATCTTCTTACGTCTGTAAAGTTTTGACAGAGATATAAAATCTATCTAGCTGATCTTTATTGCAAAATATTCTAAATCTGAACATGACGTTAATCTGAAGATATTTTTTACCAGAATATTTGATAATTTATATAAACTTATTTGAAGCTTTTTTTGTATATTGTACAGAGTCCAATAAATGCACTGAGACGTTGCAAAGTTCCAAGAATAAAATATGTCATAAAGAACATGAAAATAAATTTTCTGGGATATTGCAAAAACATTTTGTTGTGTTGCTTCCAAAACTCGTTACATATCTGTACTTTTAGTACCTTAAGGAATTATGTTAAATTGTCTGAGAAACATTTAGGAAACAAAATGAAGATAATTCCTAAATTTAGATCCCAAGATATTAACCGCATGGCATTCTTTCAAATAAATTCTTCTGTCAAATTATTTTGTTTTAAAACAATTTCCTGTCTCTAGCTTTGGTCAGTGTGCTTTGTGAATTGCACTTACATGTATAATACCGTACAATATGACATCAGTTTTTTTTCTTCCTATATCACACTTAATATCAAGCAGTAAAAAGAGTTGGGTTTTTTTTTATCACTAGCCAGGTTGGCCAAGGATCAAATGCAAGACCTCCTCACTTATAATCTATATAATTATGCACTTATACTTGAATCTTTACAACTGGATTGTTTGGGAAGTTTTAGATTAATATCTTGGAAACAACTCTTTTTACAGCCTACAAACACAATTTAGGTCATATGGCGCTGAAACAGGAAAGATGATTTTCGCTAACCTGGAGTGTCACAAACTTTAAAGCAACACCAGGGATCAAAACCACCTCACCTGCTGGAGCTAAGAGATGCATAGATTCCAGTAATTCAAACCCATTTAGTTGCCTGTTATGATCAAGCAGGGATAAACAGTGACTGCAATTTGCAATTGTAATGCCTCAACCTTTAAAGACAACACCTCAGCCACAAGGGGGCTCTCTTTTGAGAGAGAGGATGCTGATTAGAATCATTACAGTATGCCAATATATTCTACAAATGTTACAATCTAAAACACATAAATTTATTCTATGACGTAAGCAACCTCCTGGATTCTGCAAAAGTATTTTCATGCATCATTTACAAAATGCATGCCAGGTACAAAAATACTGAATCTACTTGAATTAAAGCTTAACAACCGGAATTTTAATTATCTTTATTGAACACCTGCCTTAATACTTGTTGTTCTTACCTTAATTTATTTGATAAAACTAATGCCAAGTTTATTGTTTGGTTACTTTTGTGGGTGGTTGATCAAATAAAACCTTTTGTTTGTTAATTAAGTGGAAATAGAAAATGTTTTTGCTTCTTAAGCCAATCAGTGTTTTAAACAATTGCACCATCATAAGTTGAGATTGTACTTGGCAAATTATCTGTTGTTTGAGGTACATGTACACAATACAAATATCCTCCTAGCAAGTCATCAGTTTAGTGACCTTGACCTGCTGACACAAAAAGGGGTCATATTAAACAATATTATAACTATATTTTCCAGTATATATGTGTCTGTTTTACTATTATCAAACACTTACCCATATACAGTTCCGGCATATGTTCAACAACTGCGAGATCAAGATTTAATCGTACATGATTTTTGTCGGCTAACGTGGATATAACTTCTAATATCGTCATCTTCTCATCAACCATTATACTTTTACTGCTGCCATCACACGCAAACGCTCGAACAAATAACTACAAAATAATATATAATAACCAAGATTATGTTACTTCAGGAAACAAAATGTTTGTCTACTATAATTTGTTAAATTATTAAAATTTACATAATGTCAACATCTTACATTCCGAGGGAACTTGACATACTTAATTGTATTCAAACTAGTTCTTGACCACAGTACATAAATTATTGTCATGTACAATAATATATCATACTGTTCTTAAGTTTTTATGTTGATTACATTTGCCATATTGAGTCGGAGGCCAGAAAGTAATGGAAAAGTGGACAGCCTATTGGTCTAACAGATAAACTATTCTAAATTGTTATCGGAAAATATCTGACCGATAAGCCATATTTATAGACAACAAAAGGTATCCTGGGATTCTGCAAATGTGAGTTTTACAACACTGCACTGTCAACGGTAGTGCACTGTGAAGCTATAACTGTGTAAGTTTGTTTGTACCCTTAGATTGGGGAAAAGCTCACATTTGCTGTGCACCAGATGACTTCTATTTCACTAAACAATCAAAATGGTCTTGCTGTAAAATCGTTTTTTGTAGCTTTATGTTAGAAATTGTCTGAGACGTAACATTTTATTTCCTTGTAAACTAATGGTTCTATCTCTCCTCTGATTTGTTAATATCTCAAGCTCATTTTACATCAGACATAATAATTGGTCGACAGACCTCAATTATCTCTTAATACAGCCAGGTTATATAGAACAAATTCAGCCAAAATCAGACTTTTAATCCTTTACAAAATCAGTTAAAAAGTGTCTATAAGCTGTAAGTTTACTACACAACAGAAATAAAATAAATTCCGTTTAAACCAATTTAGTTTTTCAATTCAAAAGTGTTTGTATGTCATGTTTCGGCTGAATAGTACCACTACTAGTGTTTTTTGTAAGCTATCGCAAACAGTCCGAACAACCATCCCTAGCAACCTAACAACCAGCCCGAACAACCATCCCTAGCAACCTAACAACCAGCCCGAACAACCATCCCTAGCAACCTAACAACCAGCCCGAACAACCATCCCTAGCAACCTAACAACCAGCCCGAACAACCATCCCTAGCAACCTAACAACCAGCCCTAGCAACCAGTGAAATAGCTCACTTCAATCACAACTGGCAAATTTTGCCAAATCAAAAAGTATCAAAGAGATTTAAATCCTGACTACACTCAAATTTGCAAAAACTGCTCTTACATTTACAGAAAGCATTGACCAATACAGACAAACTTTACATCAAATAAAGAATCTGACACAATATATCAGTCTTGATACGTCAGTTTTTAGAAGAAAAAAAATCTGTATGTAACAATGAGGGTGATCTGTTGTAATTTGTTAGTCTAGACAAGGGTGGTAATGAGTGACGGCACAATTTCCTTAACAACTCAACTGATTCTCTAACTACCACTGGTTTCTAAATTGACTGACTGTCTGTAATCACTGGCTGTCCATGGAAACTAATGTCTTGGAAATATTTATGACATCAATATCCCCAACTCCATTTTTTATATAGCAAATTTCAGGGGAGAAATGCTTGATGTACAGAAATGTAAAATTCCTTAAAGCCGAACAATATGCTGATCTTGCTACAGACAATAAGGTTGCTTACTAATTTTATTGTTTGGCAAAAGAAGCCAGCAGCAGACTGCATTTTCGATCACACCCAGAACTTATAGAGAGCACTTCAATAACCCATTGGTAAAGGCAATAACCAATTGGTAAAGACAATAACCTATTGGGAAAGACAATAACCCATTGGTAAAGACAATAACCTATTGGGAAAGACAATAACCCATTGGGAAAGACAATAACCTATTGGGAAATACAATAACCCATTGGGAAAGACAATAACCTATTGGGAAAGACAATAGCCCATTGGGAAAGACAATAACCCATTAGTAAAGACAATAACCCATTGGGAAAGACAATAACCCATTGGGAAAGACAATAACTCATTGGAAAAGACAATAACACATTGCTACATACTATTACCCATTGGTAAGGACAATAACCCATTAGTTAAGACAATAACCCATTGGAAAGACAATAACCCATTGGTAAAGACAATAACCCATTGGAAAAGACAATAACTTATTGGTTAAGACAATAACCCATTCCTACAGACAATTACCCAAATTTTGTTATGATGTTTTTTGTGATTACTCCTCTAAACAAAACTGCAGACATTTGGTTTGGACAAGAGTAATCCAGACATAATAGCATTACCATGTTACAAATGATGTAAGAAAATTTTACCTTTTTAATTTTGGCTTCTTTGATTTTTTCGAGAGCAATTCTGATTTTCTCTGCTTTAAGTCTGGCTTTTGATTCCTCCTGTAAAAAGCAATAATTCACTTTGTAAGACTTGTACAACAAACACAATCGTTACATTGGTAACCAAGAGCTTAAAACATCCAGCATAACTTTTACATGCAATTGCAGTGACCAAGCTCATCATGTGTAATACTGTTGTCTCTATTATTGTCTCTCTAATTTTACCATTTTGATATCAAAACTCTTTATATAAACAATGGTCACTTACAAGGAAAAGTTTTTATACAAAGTCAAACTAAGGTTATATTAATGGAAATAGAAATAAGGTTATTAATTAAACTGAGTGGCCTCATTGCCAAGTGGTTAACATATCAGACTAGTAATCTAATGATTGCTAGCCGCATGAGTTCAAACCCTGTCAGGGGCAAGTCGTTGTTTCCTAATGAGCAAGAAACTTTACACTCATTGTTCAGTATTGTTTGGTTCCAGGAACAGATTCAAAAGTGTGTTTTTATAGCTTATAGCTTCCAACAAAATCCAAACTAAAATAAATTTTGTATAAACCAATAAAATTGAGCTGGCAATTCAATATTTTCTACAGTTAGTATCATAAGCATATATAGGACAAAAGATAAGATAGTTAATGAAATAATGTTTTTAAATTATACAACAATATGCAATATCTTAATCTTATTTTTTTGATGAAATATGAAATAATAAATCATGAGGCACAATGCCTGCACTTCAAGTCTCGAGACAATTATACCTGATTTACTAAATTACGTCATTCAATTTTCATGTTATTAACCATTACAACTATTGTCAGTGGTCTTTGACTTTAGTAACTATTGTTATTATTTGTAGCTAACTTGAAATATTTCCCCAGTTGATAGACAATGATGATGCAAATGTTGCCAGACTGTAATTTCAAACAATTTTCAAACTTTCTACACAATTACGTATTTAATATACCATAAAACCAGAAATAGTCGGAACACGATGTATCAGTAAATAACAAAATGGCAAAAATCATTAACATGAATGCACCAATGTATATGGTATTCTCATCAAAGTGGATAAATGATGCCTGAGAGAAAAACTGGCAGGGTTTCAAACATAGGTGCATCAATTATACTTATCAAGTTGATGGAACAAATTATAACAGACTTAACTTGATGAACTCAATCAAAATGGTATGACACTGTGTTATGTCACATTTTCTATTGCATCATTCAGTTGTATCCCCACCTTAGACCCCCTCCTGGGGAATAGTAAAAACTTTGAGTTTTAAACCTCTAGTAAAGGCCAAAAAATAAGTCAGAGGGTTTTAAAAACCCTTTATATGCCAAAAAATTACGACTTGGACATATCTCCTGCTATTTTGACTTCAAAAACAGAACCGCCTGTTAATGTAAAGACAGACTAAAGGTCAAAATATAGCTCCATTTCTTCACTAAATCCCATGCACTGTCACTGTGGAAGGGCTGCCAGGATAACAATCAGTGGCACATTAAATTCTCTCTACCTGATAGTCCCTTTCTATCTCTAGGAACTTCATTTATAAAGCAGTGTCTCCCTATTTCAAATGTGTCAACAAACAACTTACAACTTCTCTATAACAATCATTTAAAGCTGCAGACATTAATAAATGGCATTAATGTGACAATGCCTATGACATTGGCAGTAAAATATTGAGTGCTCTGTCTGACACTCAAATACATAAATCTGACAAGCTTCTTAACAAGCCATTCAAGAGAGTGTCTATAAAAACAGTTGCATCATCAAAATACAGCTTAAATTTAAAACACAATTTATGTCATATGGTGAGTTTTTAGCTTTTCTGGATATCTGAGGATGACCCCTGGTATCCCCATCTGTGTACTGCTTTAGACAAGTGCTAAGACATCTTGGTAGAATCTGACAGAATCCATACAACTTCCAAGATTTGAACCTAAATCAGCGAAGGTGAAATGATACAGCCAGCAACCCAAATCTGTCTGCCACGGAGGCCTAACAAAACCCCGTGTTCAAATGAGCCATAGAAAAGTACAATGTTAAGTAAGCAAAGAGGAAAGAAGTAGCATGTTAACATTTATGTAAAACATGTATATTACATATATGACATATACACCAGCTTTTGTTGTATTATGTTTATGATCATGTAGTACAGTAATACATTTTGTAGAATTAACATTTTCTATATATACAAGACAGATGTTTTATTTGACTTTTGTCTGTGTAAGTTAATTAAACGGGAAATGAATCAATAGGTAAACATGCTGGAACAGTGTTAAAGGGGAGAATTGTTTAACCTCAATTTGTTAAGTTGGCTTTCTTGACAAATTGGCATAAAAAAATGTTACAGAAATACTTGTCACAGTTTAGAACTGTTCACTATTTAGAGGAGAAAATGATAGCTCAGACAGTATTCCAAGGGTCCCAGGTTCAATTGCATGATTATAATACAAAATACATAGTACAAAATGCAATGAGCACTTTGCTTTATGAAGCTAATAGTACATGTTATAACATAGATAATGAAATAGTAACAAAAGTTTGCTAAAATTATGATATAACAGAAAATACAAAAAGCGAAGCGGATGAAACTTACATGTTCTTGTGGTTGAGTGATATGTTGATATGGTGTCTCTGGCCACAGTTCTCGTATACAGGAGTTAGTATTAGAATTAGCAAAACGCATACAAGGACACGATGCAATCTAAAAGATATATATAGTAACATACACACAGGCACACTAGATGAAAAAAGAAAACAAGACGGAAAATTATAATAAAGCTTTTATATAATTATATGGGTTAAGTTGTATGCTTTCATGCAAATGCTTATGCAAATTATATACAAAAAACCTTATGTAAGACATTTATACATGATTTAAAACCCTAATATACGGACTAAGTTAATTGGTAATTCTAAAATCTGACTAGCTTACTACCATGTTGTAGATAATATATGAAATTTAACCATTCTGGATAACATTTTTTATGATTTTTTTATAGAAAACATAACGCCCTTCTCTCTCACCCCAAAATCCCATGCCCCAACCAACCCCACAAACATTGTGGCACTAGTTGATATTTTATGACCATTTTGTTAACTACGGCAATTTCCTTCCTATATATTCTGATGAAATTGATCAAAACTAAGACGCAATTTAAATCAATTAATATTCTGCAACTGCTACTTCATCTGCATCAAAAGATTTTCTAAAATTGCTGAGTCATTCAGCATACAGAAAATACGATCCCTCAGGATAATATTTTAATCAAAAGTTCTAAAATCTTACAAGTTTATTCATGCAATGCAGTAATAAAGTTATGACAGATGGATGAAGGGGAGATAAGCAGTTATTCTTACAATTGACATAACAAGGGGACTCTTAAAGTAGCATGCATAAACCACTGATAAATGATGAGGGGAGATAATTTCCAAATCTACCCCAGTAAAGAGCAAACAATTCCAAGTAGGCATTCTTAATCTTATACATGATAATATAGTGAACATATAAGAATATACAGCAAACATGAAATGTTTAAGACAATGAAATATTATTAATATTAATCTATATACACTGAGTTTAATATATACGTACATCACATTGTAAAGAATGTGGGGTTATGGTACTTCCGCTCCCGGTACTGCTAGCGTCGCCCATTCCCGCAGTCTCCGCAGATGATGATACCGTCACCATTGAGGTGAACGACTCCGACGATGGTAATGACGCAGATTCCGAGAAAGCCGAATCTGTTTCGGCAATATCCAAGTCAGAATATCCACCCAGATCACCAGGGTAATGCGTTCTAAAATATTCCAGATCACCCATTGGTCGTTTTTTGTTATATCCTAAATTACGTGTAATTTCTGACGCTAATGCGTCAAGTTCGTTTTGAGCAAAGTCGTTCCCGCTGTCACGATTTTCATCCTTGATATAATTTGGAATACCTTGTCCACTGTAGTAGTTCATTTCTGATTGGGCGTTACCAAGCTGTGTCTCAAGTTCACATAACTCTCCGAGAATTGCATCAAAATTTACATCTTGATTTTCTGAAACAAAAGAAAAGAAGAAAATTTTCATTGTGTTATGTATAAAGCTACAGGGCTAAAATGATAAAGGAACATAACTATTCATCATATATTTAATATTATTAATGACTTTTTCATTTGAAATACATTCAATTTCCAAGAATAATGAAAAACAACTTTCTCATACACTAAAATGCCTTGCTGTTTAAATTACTATAAATTTAAATGCAGACATTTTATCTAAGTCGCATGCTTGTGATATTACAATGCGGCTGATTAAATACATGTATAAATTGCAGGTTTGTTTTTACAATTCAATTAAAGAAACAAATTAGATTTAACATGCAATTTGATTCAGAAATATAATTTATTTATGTACTGCACTATATCTTATTGTACAAAACATTTTTATTTCGCCTAACCCTAACCCTAAGAAAAGAAATACATTTAAATATGCATTTATCATGAATAATTAAAATAGATTCTCAAACACCTGTAACAGTAAATCCTTTTCTCTCTCTTTAAATCACACAAAAATAAAAACATTTTTATATCTACCTCACATATCAATCATATAAATTAAACTGCAGTTAATACAACCTGGTTAAATTGTTGGAACTTATTCCCAGAGGCAATAAATCTGTCACTGACAGGAAGTGGCTGCTGTTCTTGTTTGTTTATTTACCTTTATTTGATTACAGTATGGAACTAAATAAACAATTTACAGATAAATCAAACAAATCAACATAATATACCTTTCAGGTAATCCATAAACTGTGCAAATTGCTCCATTTTAACACTTTTACAGTACTTCACTCAAGGGGAAGTAAACTGAGGTTGGGAAATGTATCACTTTTTGCAGATATTAACGCGTCACCTTTAAATTGTATAGGACAATCACAGCAGCCTAATGTATCCTATTTTAGTCAAATTTGTTGGTAACAATATTACTTTTGCAATTAATTACATGATTCAATAATGTACATGTACACAGATTAAAAGAATCACAATAATTGATTTTTCCTTCCAACAACATAAGGCAATCTGTTGAAATTTACAAAGTTAACTTTCTTCCTACAAACACCAGATGTTGTGCTTACAAATCAGCGAGTTTAACAAACAGTTTATTCTTTATATTGATAAACAAGAAGAAGTAATAGAAATGGAGAGTATATTTTGTCAAAAGAAATTTTTGTGAACTTGCCATAAAAATGACAATAATTGTTCATTATTCTGCCATTTGTTACCCAAAATTATAGAAATTTCTTCATAAATTACTTAATTATTAGTAATTTATGACAAAACAGAGGTTTTACTACTGAACTTTGGTACACTTAAACATAACTTGTAGATACAAACCTGTCAAAAACATTACAATAGTATTTATTATACCAGTTATTGTATATCTTTTATGTCTGAAGTGTTTTAACAATATATTTTCAGGTATTTATTGCTGTCTGTTCTTTTATGATTTATGTTTGTACACAATAAAACATGTTCAACATTATCTCTTAAAAATCTCCACTTTCTTTGTGACATATCTCCCAAAATGATAAAAAATCCACACTTAAAACTAGAACTATCACAACTGGACCTACATGGAAGCTAACTTAGATTGATGAAAAGGGGAATAACTTTTGTGCAGAAGAATTTATCTTTGGTGAAAGAAAGATACATTGAACAGAAAATTGTATTAATATATCTTAAATTGTCGGCATGGCCGAGTGGTTAACGTTTCGGACTAGTAATCTTATGATTGCTAGCCGCATGGGTTCAAACCCTGACAGGGGCAAGTCGTTGTTTCCTTGAGCAAGAAACTTTACACTCATTGCTCAGTACTGGTTGGTTCCAGGAACGGATTCGAAATTGTGTTTATAAGCTAATAGCTTCCTACAAAATCGAACTAAAATAAATTCTGTATAAACCAAATTGTCAAGCAATGTTTGAAACAGCTAACATCAAAAGGTTTATGCAACTTTTTTCATGCATTTACATCTTGTATTTAAAGACTGAGTACAAAAGCCAGAGCCAGCAGGGCATGGAAATTATATGTCTTTGACAATATGAATTTGATCTAAGTTTAAAACTATGAAATTAAATCAATTACCGCTCATGAAAGAATATCTAAAGCTCTCCATTGCCATTTTAGGTGTGACAACAGTTTTCTGTCGTCGTCGGACAGTCCCTGTTTCACCAGCTTCCAGACCCTGAAAAATTAATACGAACATCATTAATATATAAGTTATATAAAAATCATTCAATAAATATGTCACAGGATGAGAAAAATGTGAGCCTGACTGGGACTCGAACCCGGGACCCTCGGAATACCGTTCCTTGGCTATAAAGACAGCTATCCGCCCACTTACACATCTTCTCCCCTTTATAGTGAACAGTTCTGAACCATGACACATAATATAACATTATTAAAATATTTCAAGAAAACTATTCAGACATGAGTGGAGTTAGACCTCTGACATTTTGATTCATAGTTTCCTTACAGAAAGACACATAAGACCTGTTTAGGATTTGAACCCATAAACTGATGAAGAGTAAGTGATTTAAAGTCATCAATTAACCACTGAGCAATAATTTTAGGCAGCATTTTATAACAATTATTCCACCTCAATAGAAAACCTTACATATTTTATATCTGTCATAATATTATGTTGTCCAGTCACAATATTTACTACAATTTCCTGATAAAAACAATCCTATTATAATTATATACATATAATCAATAATGTATCAATATTATCTATAAGATAGCAATTTACATTCAAGATAAATTAATAAAGCAAAATTTTTTTGCTAGACATTTAGCATTTCCAAGAATCATAAAAAAACTAATCAAGGGAGACAATTCTGGAAGTCTTATATAATCATTCATAACCTCCAAAAAGTAATAGTAACATTATGACAATCTAACATCATAAAAACACTAGAAACTAAAACTAGAAACAGATGCCATACTGTTAATGGTACACAAGTATTCATTAATTACAAATTTATGACAATGTTACTTTTCTCTGAGTATTTTAAAACTAACTCTTGGAGTATGAATCACCTTAGGCTTATAAGCTGTGTGTAACAACCTACATATACTGAAACAACCTATAGTATGCTGAAACAGTATTATCGAATGCCAGGGCAAACTGCCATAGTCATTATGTTTTCATGACAACTAAACATTTTAACTACATTAACTCTAGGAGTACACTCATTGTCTAAACTGTCTGGGTATGTAAATTATAGTATATATATAGTATTAGAACCTTCATTTCCTCCAAATATACATTTAATGTTTATAACAGGTTTTCAGCATTATACCTTTTCCCGCACAAATTAAGTTGGGTTCAGTTCAGTCCAAAGTCCAGTCTAGTCCACAGTCAAGTACAAGTCAAAGTCCAGTACAAGTCCAGTCCAGTCAACAGTATGAATACAAAACCCTTCCAATACAATGATTTATCTGTATTGAAGCAAATTCTGCACATTTTTACACATCTTTTGCATTAAAAGTTTACTGTTTCATGATACTTTTTCAGTGAATTCTCAAAGAAAAAGATCAACAAAACTGAAACTACTCCGAGCATTTAGATAGAAGACACATTATTTACAGTAGAAATCAATAGATTATTGGACTTAAGAAGTCTTAGAAAAAACGTTCATCATAGCGGTAACCAATCAATACTACTGAAATGCAAACAATACACGAATAATGGACAAACAGAGAAAATGAGAAAAAACACAACTGTAAATATAAGCTGGCAATCTATCCTGTATCAAAATCATGACAGAATATATTGATCTGCGGAAAGATTTTACCACAAAACAAGAGAAAAATGAAAGCCAATCGGTTTGATTAGAAAATGGTGCCAATAACCCACTTGTTGTGGCGAGCCTGCACGAGATATGTCCGAGATATGTCCAATAACAAGTACTGATATATACAAGATACCTTTGATTAATTACCACTTAAAGATACGAGGGCTGTCCGGAAAGTTCGTAGACAAGGCTATAAAATTATTATAAGCAGTCATATCAATATGATGATTGAATGTTTTGCTAAAGTATTTATTTGCTACATATTTCTAAATTAAAAGACACGATTAAAGAAATATCTGCAAAGCGCCGATCACCATGGCAACATGATCAACGAATCACGGAGCACTTTGATTTCATAACGATAGCTACTCAAATAATAAGTTGCTTAATGTTTTAATTTTAAAGCAAACTCTCATTTTAATTTTGTGACATCATATGATACTATTACTTGATATTTACTGTAAATTATGACGTCATACATAAACAGGGTTGCCAGCACTTTGGTGAAATAAAATTCCCTGACTTTTCCCTGACTTTTCACTGACCAATTCATGTTTTTCACTGACCAAAATCGTCAAACACATAAACGGCCTCCTGATCTCCCCTATAGCCATCCAATCCTCCCATTATATTTTTGCATGTAAACTTGTATTTATTTTCCAAAATATAAAACATTTACATCAAAGTAACGATTCAAGCATTGTGTTCTACTATTCTTAACTATTTCTACTCAAACACAGTGTGACTGTTGGTCAGTGAAACATGTGAAACATATGACATGAAAATCAGAAGAATCATAATATAAGCATCTGTATTAGAAATCACATAAGTCACTCTTTCCTTCCTAGTATTAACACATAAAACACCAAGACTATAAGAGTAATACTTGTATGACAAAACTTAAAATTTAAACATCTCTAAACTATAAGAACAATAAACATTTAACACAGTTACTTGTATAAGGCATCATGATAAACTCCACTGATTGTGAAAACAAGAACATAGGGCTCATTTTGGCATATCATGAAATAATCACTATAAAATTAAAGTGAAGTAAGTTAGTGTGAAAAGAAGTTAGTGTGAAAAACATAGCATTGCATAATTTAACCAGTTTCCATCATGTTTGCAAGACAAAATTTTTAATCCTCTTGTACAATTTCTTAGTGTCAAAGCAAAAAGCAAAGCAGGTTATATGCCAATATGGTAGTTTGGTATACATGTATACTGACTAGATTTCATTAGTAATTAAAAGCCCTTCTAGTGATCATGCACAGAAATAGCTAGACCAATACAGAATACAATGAGAGGCATTTGAATTTAATGCTTAACTGTGAGAGCGATAAAGTCAAATATTAAATGCCTAAAGACTGCCATAGCCAAGAAAGACCTTCAATGCATATATTTTTCGACCTTTGAAATAATTTTTCCCTGACTTTTCACTGACTTTTCAGGATTTTCATTTTTCACTGACCAAATTTCAAAATTCCCTGACAATTCCCTGACCTTGAAAAAATACCCAATTTCCCTGACTTTTCAAGTCCGCTGGCAACCCTGATAAATAAACAGCTTGTTAACGACGATTATAGACGATGAAGGTGTGTAAATTTTGTGTTGCAAAAATGACGTCAAATTCACGGACGGAGCAACGTAATGATATTTAACTTCATAGCAACGGTAATATGGTACCAACTGAGATTTTAATCTTTACTTTAAAAACAAAATCAACCATAAAATGTTAAAGGCAACTTGTGTCTAAATGTCAAACAAGATTAAGATGCGGTGATGACAGGATATCATAAGAAACGCTACAGACGACCAAAAGTAGCATGACTGAAATATCGTAGATTGCGTTACAAATTTTGAAAAAGGCAGACATCTCACACGCTGTATGGGAACCAGTGACATCTTTGTTTTTAAATAATAATTTTAAATATGAAACTTATGAAGGGATAGCAAAGGCGCATAACATGTATTAAGTATACGCCAGACAGGTACCATGGCTATTGAAGTCGGAAGAAATTGAATAGCGGTAAACATAAAGTTAATTTGACGTCGTTGACGTTGTCAAAGTGCTCCATGACGATGTATATATGTTGTATGTAAATACTGTTAAAATACAAACGAAAGTCACAGTTCAGTAATTTTTGATAAATGTGTTCGCTAGATATGTATATTTATGCTGACAAAATTTGTACAGCGTATGTATTGTTATACAATAAAAAATGAAGATGTAAATGAACTTTCCGGACATCCCTCGTATAACACTGGTTGTATATATTGCCTATCAATCAGGCAATCAATTAACAATTTACTCAATATTTTATGTCAATTAAGACTCTATTCCCTTGTTGATACTGTTGAAGCGAACAGGAAGGTTAATATCCATAAGGTCAGCCAATTGCATCTTCTCTGCCCTTTTACCGCCAAAGTTTTGAATAATTTGAACCTGGAACATTACCTAGGGTAAGAAACTAAACATGAAAACAAATAGTAATTTAATGTTGGGAGTTATTGAATATTTATTCCAATATATATGGAGCAAAAGTCCACCTGAATTAAGTACATTTATAGGTATAGAAGTAAACAGTACATTATTTAGTACATTATTTACATACTTATTCTCATGATTTTAGAAACTTTAAAGTACAAAACTTTGAACTATAAAGAAGGCACATTATGCCTCAGAAATTTGAAAACAATATTCATTTTTAAGGCATAATTGACTGAACAATCTCAAAATCAATCTAGGATAAAGCAACTTCAATGCACTCTTCCTTCAATACCAACTGTTTATTATTTAGTTAATTAAGTAATTTCCTAAATTGATCAGGTGGCTGAAAAAAAACCATTAAAGAACTAGGTCAGACCAAACTGACATATATGGTACTTAAAGTATTGGCATTTTAATTATAGAATTAATGCCATAAGAAGTCAACGTTCAAAGGAAAAAACTTGACAACCCCACCCACTCCCTTTTATGTTTTGAGATGTTATAATATAGCATTAAATGGTAATTCTGACAATTAAATTTCAAACAATAATTTAAACTAACTTACTAAAAACATAATTGCATTAAATTTTAGAAAAACTTACTGTCAAAAGGAAGTGTCAAATGTCACAAGGAAAAGAAAACCTTTCACTATTAATTCCGCATATCCAGCACACATTATTCACAGAAATGTTGATACTACATTCATCAATCATCAACATCAAACAAAGTTTTAATTACAAAAACAACAATAACTCTGAACCACAAATCTTGTCTACACAAAGCAAGCACCTTGTTAACAACATAAATATACAATAAATATTTCAGGTTAAACTATATTAGGTCCCTGAAATGTCCTAAAATCTAATTCTCCTAGTCTCACTACATTTATTACAT